CTTTCCCTTCCCTTCCCTTCCCTTCCCTTCCCTTCCCTTCCCTTATCTGCTGCTCATTCCCCAAGGCTCTGGGCAGCTAACAATGTTAACATATGAAATAATGACCCCCAAATCCCAAATGCATATAAAAATAAAAAGAACAGGAAAGATAAAACCCAAAACATACAAATGTCCTGGACCTGTGAACCATACTTGCAATTGCAACACATGGACCAGGTAGTTTTTTTCACAATTTCCTAAAGCTCAAGATGGATAAAGGTGACCAAGCCTGCCAAAGAGGAATTCCAAAAGAGTGTCAATGGCAACTCTTTTGGAATTCCATTTTGGCAATGGTCAATGTCCCGCTTCCAAGGCCTCATCAGGTGACAATCCTGTAGTGATGGCACCTGAAGAGAGTTAACCCCATTTGATCTGACTGACTGGTAGATGAATATAGGAGGTGATCCCTCAGATAACCAGATCTTTGTTTTAATATTATTTTCTCAACAATAACACAAGGCATAATTTTGGTGTTGCTGCAACATTAGTAACTTACTTATTTTCCTAAAAACTGGTTTTCAGAATTATTGGCTCCTTAAATAATAATCTCACCTAACATGATGATATGTTGCTATGTCTCTTCCAACAACTTATAGATATAGCCCTCAATTATTTTGCTAAAAAAGGGGGGGGGATATGATACCACTGATGCATTAATTTCAGTGAACGTTCTTTAATCCTTCCAGAGTCCACTCTTAGTAGTTTCAGCCTAGATAAAGAATTACCGTTTTTATTTTCAGTATTTTTTTCATTTTCCCATATTTGCAAAGCCTTGCTTTTCAGAGACTTTTAATAATGCAGGATAGATTTTCAACACAGATCCTTTGGTATTTTCCCCTAATTCAAGAATTATTCTTTCAAAATCAAAGAAAAAAGTAAAAAGCTATTTTGTTTTACATCTTCATTTTGAAGGAATGATAGAACTTATTTATATCCTAGCCAGTTTAGTCCTAAAATATTAGACCTATGACCTATCTCCATATTACATATTATTCCTCCATTTATGAAACAGTTTTTTTAATCTACAATGATTTGCCTATTTTCATTTCTTTGTACTGTCTTTAAATTCTTCAGAAAAGATTAATGTCGTATAAAGGTCCTATAAAGGACATTAATGGGGAAGGATATGGTGTTAATTTTTAGTGTCACTTTTGTGAAATTTCAACAGTACACTCCAAAAAAATGATTTTGCAGTTCCTCTTCATGCCATTTTAAATCTAATCTCTTGTGAAATATGACTGCATTGAGGTATTGACTATATAAATGTGATTCTTTCATCTTTATCATTTTTAAAATTGATCATTATATAATAGAGACAGTATGTTTTAGCTGGAAAGCTATAGAATATATCATTGTATTAGGAAATCCTCCTTTTCCTTTTGAGATTTTTAGTTACAATATTTTTATATTTAAGTATGGGTTCTCTTTTGTTTAAAAATGCCAGTAAGTTAGGATTTTTTTAGTTAAGGAAACTGGTAATGTTTGAAAAATAGGAAAGCTTACAGTGATTCACTTACTTGGATACATTTGATATACATGCTCCTATGAGCCTTTCCCCTTAAATTTGCAGATAAATGATAAATATTGATTAAAAATGAAAATATGTCTTAATGGCTGTGTTATCAAACCTTGCTTAACTTGGTTACAGGTTTTTTGGGTTTGAACAATGCATTGAACCATTAATTAACAAAATGGGTTGGATTCACACAATGGGAAAAACAAAAAAAATTTTTTTTTAAAGATTAAAAGTAACTAAGCTTTGGAAATACAGCTGCTAGATATTTAACACATTTGGATTATCTTGTATGAACAAAGCAATTGTTTCTTGCATATTTTTCTTTTTTGCATGAGTAAGGGAAGAATGTTTCAGTTGCAACATTTCTGTATTATTTACAAGGCATATTGGGCATATGAATATATTTTTGAATAAGTGATTGTAGACTTGACTGAACAAATTTGATTGAACAACATCCATATAATTTTAATGGACTGCAGTTCACAGAACTAAGCAAATGTATCCAGAGAAATTGGCACCCAAACTGCCCTGTTAAAATTAAAATACACGTCTTTAGAGACAAGATGTAGATCAGAATATTAAAGTGCATTTCTACTTCCCTTTGCCAAATGAATTACAGATTTCCAAAAGAGACCTACCGTTCTGCCCATCTTGTATAATCAGGCAGAGTTGGCATGCTCATGGTCCCCTCCATTAAGCAATGTCATCTGACAGGACCTAAGTGTCTATTTCAGCACCTGCCCTCTGGAGCACCATTCCCCTCAGATTCATTTGCCCCCAACTCTGACTGTCTTTAACTAGCCCTTGGGTTAGATTGAGTGGGGGGTTCTGTGAATTGTACAATTTTAGAATGGCTGCTGCTGCTTTTCTACTTGTATTTTATTAATGATTTGATTGTATGCCTCCCAGAGGCACTATGGAGTTGGGGGAAACTTTTAAATTAAATAAATAAATAGACAAAGTGCCAAGTAGGAGAGTCAGTCCTATCCATTTATTAGTTATATCTGTCTGACAATGCATTTTATTCCCTGCCTGTTTTGGTATGACTGCAGTGATGTGTGAGCCAGCACAGCATGATTTCAGTAGGAGAGCAAAAGGCATCACGTAGTTGGCACTGTTATTTCTTATGAAGATGCCTTCTCCAGCAGCTGGGAAACACTGATATCCATGTATTGGGAGGAGAGGAGTAGTCAAGGGCTAGGAAGATGAGGTGGAACAAGCATCCTTCAAACTTTTCAGTAATGAAAAAAAGGATTGCATTATGTACTGCTAGACTCTCCAAACACAACACAACACAAGAAAGAAAGAAAAATATTGTTATTGCACAGGTAGCAGGACTCCAATTAATTGTTCATAGTATTTATCCTATGGCACATACTTTATCTCCCGTTTGATTGAAGCTTGGCAAATCATCGCTCACTTTGCTCTACTTGGGAATTTTAGTTGCCCGTATGTTGTTTTGAAGAGGAATATTTGCTGTCTTTTCAGCATTGACAATAGCCCAGTTATAAAGCACTATCACATCAAGGAGACCAGTGACAAGCCCAAGAGGTACTACTTGGCAGAGAAACATGTTTTTGATTGTATCCCAGAAATGATCCATTATCATCAGTATAATGCAGGAGGTAAGTTCAGGCAAGAAAGGTAAGAAGTTGAAGATAACTTAGTAATAATTCCAAGATTCTAATGTACTAAAAAACAGGAAGGAAAAATGATCTTGACATCTAAAGAGTTCCTTATTATCAAAGCTGTTATGATAAACGAACATCACTTTACTTAGTATCATGAAATGCTGAAAGTTTCCTGAATTCTGCATCTCTTCTGCAGGAGGCCTGTATTTGCCTTCTCTTTATATGTGCCCCTATTAAGTGTAATTTTGAATTACGCTGAAGAGAAAAGCTCTATATAAATGAAGAAGAATTCTTTGCCTTCCTGAATATTCTGGGAGAAATTTAATATATTCAAATGCTCAGCATCTTCAGGTAGATGGTTAACGTGTCTGTATTGTGTTATCAAAACTTTATTGAACTTCCTGAAGAGTTTCAGTTAATAGGGAAACAGTATTGCTATACTGTATGAGAGTGACAAAATTGTAACTTGCTATTTCTGTATTGAAATTTGACCCTAAGGTACATTCTTACAGTACATCTCCATAATTCTAGTTTCCTGGCCCATCATTTTTTCTAGGCTTGCAAAAACAGGCACTTATTTTTTGAGGTTTTTTTTTTTCTTTTTGTCTGTATGTATTTATATATTATTTCTCCAAAACACAGGTCTTGTTACTCGGTTGCGGTATGCTGTGTCCTCCTGGAGAGAAAAAGCTCCTGTTACAGCTGGATTAAGTTATGGTAAATAAACTGTAGATGTTTTGCTAAAGGGGCTTGTAATTTTTTGGGTTTGAGACAGAATGAAATTTGTAGCAAAAATGGAAGAGGTGGCAAGGAATAATGATGGAACCAATAGTGAAGCTAACTGTTGGGAGTTCAGCGTAGGAAGAAAAGTAAGAAAGCAACTCATAGTTCCTTTCCTTAAAATGTAAATAAGGGTAGGTAAGGTAATCACAAAGTTTCTTCTTGTTTTTGTAAATCGGATATAGAGAGGGGAGTATGACAGGAGGAAATGATTAAATTAAAGATTCTTACTCAGGTTCTTTCCACCATCCCCAAGGCACTATTGATTGGATAACAATTATTATTCATTGGACAACAGCAATTATCAGGTTGCTTTTCTTCTGCTTTTTCCTAGGCAAATGGATTATTAATCCTCAAGAGCTAACATTTGAGCGGGAGATTGGTGTTGGTGAGTTTGGGGTGGTTCACCTTGGCTACTGGCTTGATCGGAAGAAAGTGGCCATAAAGACAATTCGCACAGGAGCAATGTCAGAAGAAGACTTTATTGAAGAGGCCCAAGTCATGATGTAAGCAGTGTAAATACCTACTGACATCTACATTGTATCAAATGTAAAGTTCAAAGCACTGTTTTGTGAACATAACATTGTATAAAACTTAACTCCCATTTTCTTATATACGATGTAGAGAATAAGGCAGTAACATGAGCTTTAATCACTTTATGTAGCTCAGCTTTTAAATAATTTCCATAAGCTGGACCACACAGACTTTTGGATTATTTTTGTAATTAAACTCAGAATCTTCTTCTAGCTTGTTTGTTCAAAACTGTACTGAATGTTGTGCATCAAGGATGAAATTATAAAATATGGGACCTATGTGATCAACTTTCTCTTCTGCATCTCTTCTGCATTCATATAATGAATATTTACTGGAAGAATTAGAGTTATCAAATGAATGGGGGTATTTTACATTTATATACACATGTTTATATGAATGAGTATCAGCAAACTCATAGTGCTCTTTAGTCTCAAGCTGACAACAGGCATTTTTAACATTAGGCAATTCTAATGGCATAAAGCTTCTAAAACAATATGCATTAAAGAATGGTAGTCAATTTTTGGTTTGGTTTAGTGTTCCTTTTAGATGTCTTCAGAATGTTTGCTATATATTATTTTTGAAGTAGTAAATAGTTCCTATCCCTGATGCTCACAAAGAAACATTAAAGACATGACCACCTTGTGGTTAAAAAAAATCTTATTTACACTGTTTTGTTGTGTCTCACAAACATGACTGTCTCCTAAACATGACTGGCATGATCAGGCACTAAACCATAGGGATCTTGGTTGAAAAAGCCGTATTGCTAGAAGTTCTACAAAATCTGATCTCTGATACTGAATTACAAAGATATGAAACAAGCTTTGCTGGGGAAACAGCACAAGCGCTGATTCTTCACCCTTGTTTTTAACTGAGGTTTTAAAAATATTACTCTTCCTTGAGGTGAACTTTATTACTGGTGACTCTATGGACACATATTTAACAAGATTCTTATTTTTCAGCAAACAGAAAAAAATGTCAGTGAAATGTTGTATATGTGTGAAAGAAGTAACTTCAGAATTGGTTTCCATTTCAAGAATTATTCACAGTAAATGAGGGAAATGTTGCATGGTATTTTCCAAGAACAACATTTTTTTCCCCTTTTTCTTTATTTCTTAGTATACCATTCCTATATCTGGGTTTCTTGTTTTGTATAGTTTACCTTATTTTCTGTTGAATATGCTATCTGTCAACACTGATTTATCTTTTTGTATCATCAGGAAACTATCTCATCCCAAATTAGTCCAACTGCATGGGGTATGCATGCAAAGTTCTCCTATATACCTTGTATTCGAGTTCATGGAATTTGGATGTTTATCTGATTATCTGAAGAGGCAACGTGGAAGCTTATCAAAGGAAGAGCTCCTTGGAATGTGTCAAGATGTGTGTGATGGAATGGCTTATCTGGAGGAGGCATCTGTCATTCATAGAGATCTGGTATGTCTGGATCACATCTGGTTTCCCTGCAAAGAAATCTGTAACATTGTATGAGAAGTCTTTCAGTATCTGGACCAGCAATGGGGATTGTGCAATATATTTCTGATTAATCCTTCTATGTCAGAGTATTAATCTTTTTTAGATTTTGTTTCATCTTGTAGTGCCCAGTAGTCTTCTGTGTGAAGAAGATTTAATGTCCTCATGGTTTGCTATCTTCTTATTGTTATTGGGTATGATAATATATCATATCACACCAAGGTTCTGTCTGTAGGAATGGATGGAGGAGACTATAAAGGACTGGATGGAGGAGAACAGGCTCAGAGTCAACCCTCATAAAACTGGCTGTGGATTATGGGACTTCCTGGATCCAGAGATTTTCCATCTTTGGTTCTGAATGGGATAACATTGCCCCAAACAAAGCCAGTGCTCAGTTTAGAGAATCTTCTAGACTCATGGCTGCTGCTCAAAAAGCAGAATCTTACCTGCTCCTGGATCAGGATGCCCTGCTTATGGTCACTCATGTCCTGGTCATTCGTGATTGAACAATTGCAACATATTCTATATGGGGCTGCTCTTGATAGAAACTTCAGCTGGTCCAGATACAGCAGTATGAGTAGTTATGGATGCATCTTGATATGTCCATGTAACACCTTTACTTTGTAAGCTGCACTGGTTACCAGTTCACTTCTGGGTGTAATTCAAGGATCTGGTTCTTACCTATAAAGCCCTTCATGGAATAGGACCAGGCTACTTGTGGGACCACCTATCTCCAATTATTTCTGCCTGCCCAGTAAGATCTGATGGTATGTTCCAGGTCACATTGCTTAGGCTATATCATCTGGCAGGACTCAGATCTGTCTTCTCTGTTGTTATTCCACCCTTTGGAACAGCATCCCCCCACCACACCCAGAGATCTGGCTGGCTCTAACCCTGCCTGCCTTTTGCAAGTTATTAAAAGACTGCTTTTTTCCTTAGGCATTGGGTCTGGGAGCAGTATAACCTATTAGATGAGGGTTGTTTTTCTTTTTTTTCCCAAACACTTTTATAATGGATTTCATGGAATTTATTATTGTTATTTAATGATGTATACTGCCCTGAGTTGTGTGTTGAGTGAGGGCTCAGGAAATTAAATAAAATATTAAAAAAATAAATCATTATCTAGCTAACCTCACCACATGGGCTCATAAATATTGACTCTTTCCCACCTATCATGGCTTTGGCCAATCAAGGCTAGAGATTGACCTAAGGATGATTGGCTAGGGAATTATCATATGTGTATATGTATAGATGACTCTGTAGCCAATCACATTTGCTCCATGATAAAAGTAGTGAAAGAAAACATCAAATGAGAATGAGAACAGAATTTCATGGATCCATCACATTCATAATCCCAGCTAATGCGAAGAACAAACTGACCATTACTTAGTTTTTGTGATGGCAGATAGTTGTGAAGAAGAAAGAGAGGAACAGAGAAGTTTGGAACATATAAAAGAATAGCCAAAAATTTCATAGCTCTTTCTGTAAAGTTGTCAAAAGAGTAAGACAAGCCTTTATTTTCCAAAATAACTAAAAATATTCCTGAAAAAACAATGGATGGATGGATGGATGGATGGATGGATGGATAGATAGATAGATAGATAGATAGATAGATAGATAGATAGATAGATATAAAGTTTCAAAAACAAAGGGAAAAACTAATACAAACTAATATAGAGTAAGGAAGAAGAAAGAAAAAGAAGGAAATCAGAGAGCTAAAAGTGCAAGAAATAGAGAAAATAAAATAGAAAAGAAAGAAAAAAGATACAAAGAAGTGGCTTCCAATCTTCCTTA